TTTTTTTTTTTTAATTTTGAGTGGGTTCAAGCACTTAACACGCGGCAAAATATTATTGGAGTGGGATGTAATATTTTTTGAAGTAGCCAAACGGTAAAATTCCCGTTCATAAATCCGAGCCCTCTTGAATTCAATTTTGACTTCTTTTTATGCCCTACTTGCAGATAAACCCTAAAAGCAGGAAACAGACCCGGAGGGTTTTTTTGCAGATCGATCCATGGATGGGGAGGAGGCAAGTAGTGGTGGTATTGACTGCAGGGTAAAGGGAAAGATCTCTTTCGGCTCTCGCGAACCATCTGTCTCCGTTGATCTCACAGATCGCGTCCATCTTCTCCCTTGCGTTATCAAGCACGATGGTGCTTGTCCAGTCTCCCAGTATTTCAAACCGGGAAAGTCGGGTAGCTCATATTTTTTTGCTTAACCAGCATTGGTTTTCCTGTTCGCTTTTTCATACATTTGGTTTGGCATAGATATGGTTGCGGATGGCTCGAACGTGGAGGAGGCGTTTTTCAGAGGGAGGAAACTCCATGGAGTTACTGTTCCGATCCCTAATGGTTACCGCGGTATGTTTTTGGACTGTGCTTTTGTTCTTCGATGTTAATGTTTTACGGATATTTAATTTGATAATCGGAATGTGCTGATATATTTATTTATTACAGGGTATGTTTTGGAGAAAAATAAAATCAAGCAAGGGAGGTGTTCGGAGGTTTTAGAGGGGCATGCAAACAATTGGGCTTCTACTGCAGAGTTTCAAAACATAACTTATTGGAATCATGATAGTCTCCCTTCGAAACATGACCTAGTTGTGCGCAGCTTCCATTGGTTTGCTATTGCTGAAGCCGTGAGTTAACCTCTTTGCCTTTGTATTTTCCAGGGAAGTTGACCTCCATTTTATCATACCGTTAAGTAAAATTCAGTTAAATTTAAGCTAGAAAAATAGGATGAACAAAAATGAGTTCAATAAATGGACTTCCAATATGTGTGGTGGACTATGTAAAATATAACGTGCATATTGGCATTGACCGGCATGATTAACTAAGTTTAGGAGTGAAAAGATTTTCATTCAACATCTGAGTTTTGGTTTTAGGAAATAATCTGAAGATTGAAATTTTGAAGAAGATTGAAATTTTGAATTGGATTTGAAAGATTTTAAAGTTCTTCCCAATTGAGGATCTCAAGAAATTTTGTTTAATTATGTTTGATTTTTACAGTTTAAGACTTTGTTTGAGGATTTAAGTTTTGAAGTTTTAAGATTTGGGATTTATTCATTTGAGGATTTAAAATTTATTTGTTTGAAGTTCAATAATTTGAGGGTTTTGAAAATCATTTATTTGAAGGTTTGAAAATCATTTGATTTAAGGGACTGAAAATCATTAGTTTGAGGGTTTGAAAATTATTTGTTACTTGAACACTTTAGGATGAAAACCTATACAGACTCACATTCAATCTATGAGATAAGCAAAATTATTAAATCAGGATAGAAAGTCTATGTAGATTCATATCTAAATTGAGAGCTAATTGGAAGGAAAGTTTTGATTTGATAAACCTTAACACATTGGGATGAAAAACATATAGACTCACAATCAAACCAAAAGCTGAACACGATGATTGGATCATGATAGATAAACTGTGTAGAGTCATATCACTCCTGAAGCTAATAAAAAATTAGAGATTAACTGGGACAATGGGTCTCCAAGGGGCCTCCTACGGGTTTTAATGACTAAAACTAGTGAGTTGTGGATTTGTTCTACATTAGGTTTTCTTAGCCAAGGCACTGATCAATTGAATCTAACACAGTGAAATAGAATCAATGAGGCTGGAGGGAGAGAAACTCAATTATCATTTGTGTGGGTTTCAGTGACTTAATCAGGAAAAGTTCCTAAGAGGCTGGTTCCACAACTTGTTTCTCATTGGCCAAAACATCATTCTGCTGAATTCGATATTTCAGCATAGTAATGAACCCGACGAGGATTCGGGATGGTACGATGAAGGGCGTGCTCCACCACCGAGGGAATAAACAGGCCTAAAACGTTTAGTCTACATTAAACATAGGCATCACACTCATCTCTCTTCAGTAGGTTTAATTTTGGTGGTTAAGATTGACGCTAATCCCTGATGAGAGATATCTGCTAAAAACTTTACATCCTTCTTGTGACATGAAAGTGTCTATCGGTGGCTTCAATCAAGAAGGTAGCTTGCCTTTGGGATCTTATGTTTTGTAAAACATCATATATAGGAAGCTTGTGCCTGGATATTTCCTTGCCTATGCTTTTTCTTCAGCTTTAACCAGATTGAGACGCCAGGTTGAGACGCTATTTCTGCTATTCATTTGGATTGCATCATTGTATCAAATCTTATCAATGTTTAAATAAGTTAGACTCCATGCAAAGTTATTTTCTTGAACTTTTGACAACAATTTTTCCTTTTCATTAGGTTTAGTAATTTATTTTTCCTTTTGTAAGCATTATGTACATGGAGGGGAAACTCTTATTCCAACCCTCAATAAACAGTAAAATCTACTATGTACATTGATTAATAATATGATGAAAGTATGTTCTCACTATTTCTAGTTGGATGTTTTGATATGGGCATAAATTTTGAATTTCTGATGTCTTTTTTTTTTGTTATTTTATGTATTTCAGATTTATTGTGTTAGGATTACTTTATTCGACGTCATTCAGTCTGCTAGCAAATAATTAAAAGATTAATAGAAATCTATTAATGTTTTCCTAGTAATTTTTATTGTTAGTTTGAAACATGCTATCAATTTGTCAAGAGTTTATTAATAGTTTGTTATTTATTCCATTTATAAATATTTGAATTCCAAGTGATGTAAATAGTTAACTGTATAAATGAATTTTTTCTATCTTTTTTGGAAGCCTTTTTTCTTATTTTGTATTCCAAGGTTTATTTTTTATTAAGTCTGAGAGATGAAGCCCTTTCAAGTGAGGCAACTTTCTTTTCCAAGAACAAGTTTATTTTTTTTTATTTAGTTGCAATTTCTTATTATTTTTCTTGTTTTTCTGTTTTATTATATGTTCTAATGTTTACAAGATTGTTTTGGATTATTCGTCTTTCAAAGTTATGATTTGGATCATATTAAAGCACACTATACAATTTTTAAAATTACCAATTATTTAATAAACCATTGTTTTGGCACAAGACTTTCTATTTTCTCATTTATTCTATTCTTATAATACATGTAAAAGAGCAAAATGAAATATTTAAAAAATACAATGATAATTTATTTTCAATTTTGATACAACTCCCACCTCTCCATCTTAAATTCAGCGATGTTTTGACAACTTGCTTAAAGTTTTGCTTGTGTAGACGTACAAAAACAAACGACAAGTCTTGAATTTTATTTTAGCTAACTTGCTCTGAGTCACAAGATTGTCTATTTAGCACTCAACCCGTTGATGTATAAGCTCATAGAAATAAATTTCATCGTACATTGTTAGGTGTCTCCACTATTCTTAATGCCAAAGACATGACCTTATAATAGTAAATAGTAATGGGAGTGCAAAACAAAATAAGCTTACCATCTTCAATGGCTATCTTTAAGTTGATTATATTCGGATGAATTATCCATGAATGAGAATAAACTTTGATAATAAGTAATATCAGCTATGGATTGAGGGAAATCTTCTTTGGGACTAACTTTGTTTAAATCATGGAAGTTAATGCATACACAAGTTTGGCCATTCTACTTTTGGACCCGCACAACATAGGCTAGCCAAGTGTGATATTTTTTTTTGATAAAGCAGCTTCAATGAGCTTTTTGGTTGCAATAATCATCTGTTTTTATATTTCTAACCTCATCATAGATGGTGGTTATTTATTGGGATTGCACAGACCGAGTCATAAGCCTTTGCATTGCTACCTCTAGAGCTAGACAAGCTATCTCGGTATAATTTCATGCAAAACAATCTTTATTTTAATGTAGGAGCTTCAATAGCTCACGTGCTTCTAACTCAGAAAGCAAGGCGCTACAAAAAGTAGTATAATCGACATATGTTCCCAAGTTAACTTTACAGAGTTTGTCCACAACAGAGTTGATGCAATCTTCAAATATATGTGGAGCCTCGCGGACCATGTTCCCATTGCCATTATCTGAGTTTTTGACCTCCGAAATGATGTCTATGAGATATGAACATGTAATAACATGAATAGTGGCGTTAAAATAACAACATTTCTCAATATACGCCCAAATCCTACACAAATTGAGAAATATTTGTTTGCCAAAATTGGGCCCATTGTCGGATCAAAATGAAGATACTATTGCATCAGACCCAGTTATAGACCATTTTCTTTATTTGTATGAATTATGAACAAAAGAAGAAAAATAAAGAGGAATTGGAGTCATTTTATTGCTTCCTATATTTGATTGTAGAGGACAAATTTTTAGGGAATTGTGGAGATCTACAATATGAAACAATGCTGTGTGCCCACAGTGCTATGGATGTACATAGAAGGTGTGGAACTATTATATGGAATGCTTTGGAACATATGTTGGTTCATGCACACTACTGTATGGTACAGAGGTAGTCTGTTGTTGAAGTGGAGTATGATTACTAATCCTCATGCTTGACATTTGACAAGGAGGTGATTATATATGCCAGTAGCCTGATGTTTGATATTGTGCATTATTGACATTTAATTCATTGCTGACAAGAAGACCTCCAAGTGGTCAAAACATGGTAAAAGGACAAGAGTTGTCATTACTGCTAGGTTATTGCTGGACTGTTTGAAAAGGCAAAGGCCTGATTCCATGAGAAATGGTGATGGGTAAAGAATGGGTTATGGAGGAATCCTAGCACCATGATTGTTTCAAGCCACAGTATTTCTCTCTCTGTTTCTTGCCCCTTCTCGCTTTACATCTACGATAGGGAGGAGAGTCTCACAGCAAACTTAGTTTATTATCCATTGTCTATGCTATAATCTTAAGTCATATTGGTAACTGCACTGATGAGGGTTTATTTACTACTCATTGAGGCATATAATCCTAGCACCATGATTGTTTCAAGCCACAGTATTTCTCTCTCTGTTTCTTGCCCCTTCTCGCTTTACATCTACGATAGGGAGGAGAGTCTCACAGCAAACTTAGTTTATTATCCATTGTCTATGCTATAATCTTAAGTCATATTGGTAACTGCACTGATGAGGGTTTATTTACTACTCATTGAGGCATATAATACTTCGCATCAGCAAACTTTGATATTTCATGCATCATGAATGATTGAATGTCTCCAAGGATGGAATCCTCTACATCATCTTTTAGATACTTCATGCATTGATTAATTGTAGATGAAGCCATCTCATGATTGTACAATCAAGGCCTTCCAAAGAGAACTTTGTATGATGTATTTGCCTTAATAACATGGATCTTTGCCTCTGTATTGAACTCTCTAAATTTTAAGGGCAAGATGCTAGAACAATATGGTCATTGTTCTTGATCATTGAAACTCTTTAACAATGTTTTATTTGCTGTAAGTTTTAAATTTTTTAGGGAAAAACACCTCTGAAGTTTTGGCACTAAGAATGCTAATTAACGCCCTTGGATCTATGAGGACCTTGTTTAGTTTAAGACCATTCATCTCAGCTGTGATATATTAGAGACAATTATGCTTAGAAGTCCTTAAAAGAAGATAATGTTTTGAAAATGTATTGTTGGGGATTTCTTTTAAACACTGAACTATTATAGGGCTTTTGCGACAAAATAAGACTGTTACGTCTAGCTCTATTAATTTCTTCACTAAATTATCTCTTAAATCTAAGGCCATCATAAAAGTTTCTTGTATATTGAGGAGGGATGAGATTTGGCGCTAGTGAGCCGACACA